TGCTACTGGATGCTTTGAATTTCCCTCGGGATCAATAAAGTATCTATCTATCTATCTATCTATCTATCTATCTATCTATCTATCTAAAAGGTCTTGGTCCCTCTCGAGGTCTCCGTTGTGACAATTTAAAGAGCACAACCTCATATTCTAAACTTAGTGTGTATCATATTTAAAAAATGTATCTTGTAATATGGAAAAAAACATTATCATTACAGTGATTTTAGTGGAGAAAGAGGCAGTGCTTGTGGGAGACATAAAGCCAGACATTTAAGACTTAATGGGCCTTACTGTGTGTAGGGAGTCAGAGGCTGTGACTGTGACATAGTCCACTGGGACTTCACTCCCTTTATTCTGTACTGGGCGATGTGGCATGTCTTTTATGGCCCTCTGTAATATTTCATGACCCTATACATTGGTAAATCAGAGAGAAGCAGCTTAAAAACACAGCAGCCACAGTCTTCTTGAATAAACACCGTCACAAAAACTCTTCCAGCCTGATGTCTTTGGCTCAGTAACACTGAGGTTATCAGAATAAGCACGTGTGATTAGGCATCCAAAATGAACTCCCTAAATGGTGATTTCCAAAGATGGTTTTCTGGAGTCATTTGTGTTGTAATGAAGCTGTGCCCTGCTGTGTTGTGTGCCTAATGAATAAAGAATCTTAGGCAACACTTTAATTTGATTTTTTTTTTGCAGGAGACCCTGCAGCCCAACAGGTCTTGAGATTGCAAACCGAGCCCACTCTTAAAAATTATGTTTTTAGTTAAAATAATTGTTTTTTTTCATCAAATCCATTATACATTTTGGAAGTTGAAATCATTTTATAAATTAAATCAACAAAATTCCTCCATGAAAGACATATAAATAGAAACAGAATTTATGTGGAGACATAGAAGGCCGGGCACATCAAATCAATGACAGACTATTGTAATCACCTCATAGTAACTGTTCATTAATTGAAGCCTTTTTGACACATAACTGGTCCCACATAGAAAAGCAAGGGGAACCACAGTTTCACATATAGCAATACTGCCATCTAGTGTGATGAGTGATTTGGCCCAATACAGCCACATTGACTCAGTATATTCCCTCAAGAATGCCATCTAACAAACTGAAAGGCCCTCAGAAGTATAAAAGAATGGCAGTTTGAACACACAGGAAAATCCACTACTGGTCCAGTAGTCAATACACTTGGGGTGATGGCATTGCCTGCACCTCTTTTCTTGTTTTTCTTTTCCCGTTTGTACTATTATTTAAATATCCAATTCCTAAAAATGCCTCAACACACTACATTGGTGTATGCAGAGATACAGACGTAAATAAAATTGACTGTGTGTCAGCCTGGTTTGAACAAGCCACATTAGGCAGATTTTCTTCAACAACATAATTTAAAATTCAGTGATTCTTCCATTCATTCAGTTCCTGGGACATTTTATTGCCTCATGTATCACAATATTTCAGATCAGTACTATTGCCAAAAGTCAGGTATTTGTTGTATGGGGATCATTATCAGGAGAGATAATGTTGGATTAGTGCAATGTGTAAATGTGACACAACACTATATCTTCAGAAGATTGTATTTGACTGAAGCAGCATAGTGATAGACAGTTATTTTGATATGCACACTTCTATTACTCATCAATACACATACTTTTTGTATGATTAGTTTTTTGCATAAGTCTGCCACAGACTGTGGTGCATGTGGGTAGTGACAAAAGAGCAAGGATACAGTTATACACATGTTCTTAGAGAAAGACTGTGGTATTGTTTCCTCTGTGCCACCACACTTCCTTTTTCAAGGTTTTGAATGTTGGCTCAGGTGTCAGGATCAACTAAACACCTGCAGTGACAAACGGTATGATAGTCGTAGTCAGCTCAGTCTGAGCCCTCCAGTATGTTTGCTAGATATCAGCACATCTTTGCTTTACTTAAAGCAGACAGGGAGCTGACAGGAATGTGTTACGGAAAACCATCACAGCTCTCTCCAAGCATAACATCTAGAGCAGGCAAAATGCTTTCACGACACCCACATTACGACAACTTTAACTAACTACAAATTGGGTACTGTGATTTTGAACCGAAATGCAAAACTAAATAACAGCTCTTATGATTCTTTATTAAATAGTTTTGGATAATGATATAGGCTTCATATAAATTGACACTATGTACTGTTATATTTGCTGTTAGTGTAACACAAATATAGAGCAGTACAAACCAAATAGTACTTACTGAAGAAGTCCAACAAATATGACTATTGCTGGTGTAATGAGTCTCTCAATGTCCCCAGTTGCAGGTTTGGGCACTTCTCAATGTGTAAATGTAAAACACTACACCTAATAGAATCAGCTTAGCTGTCAAACTGTAATTTCCAGTACTGGACTCAAACACATTAGCATCTACATTGCCAGGTCACTCCGTTACTCACAGATTCAATATCCATTTATTCTTGGTAATAAAAAAATCAATCTGTAAGGTAGTTGGCAGGCATTCACAGCTGCTGATAAGGCAGAGTTGTCTTTTGGCACATTACTAGCAGCTGAAGTGCCTCCATTGCTGTACCCAGGATGTCCAGTCCATCTAGGAAATCACTTTCATGTAATTTAAGCGGAATATTTACTTAGAGATTGTGGCTTGGCAAATTACAGCAAACGGCTGCATTAGGTTGTGTGGCATTCTAATTGAAAGGCACTGGAACAACATCAACAATGAACTTTTCATTTTAGGCACTGACATGATGGGGATATTGATCAGAATAATTAAGAATAAGTATGATGAGCTCATATTTAGAGGATAAAGATTCACAACAATGAAAAAGTGTGAAGGGCTCAAACAGTAGCCATATGGTGCTGAGAGTCTGGGAGTTTATTATGCACTTCTAAATGGTGCATAATGATCACTCTGAATGGATAAAGAACTTTCAATACAGCTATGAACTCCAACAGGAGCCTTTTCTTTATTCATGTAAAGGAAAGGACATGGCTGGTTGTTTAATGTAAAGGACAGTGTGACAAACCTCTTGAAAGTATAATGATTCATGTCTATGGACATTATTATGTTTGTTTGACTGTACTAAAAAAAATTAACAACTGTTTTTTATATAGAAAACAACTTCAAAAAACATTCTGACAGGATTACAGTTGTGTAACATTTCTATTAAATGTCTTGTGAGGCACACATTCACATGAAAACTTCTATATATACACAGTAGGTATTTCTCTCTGCCACCAATGTCACTTACCATAATTCAGATCTACTACAGCAAACTGTAAGCATATGAGAGAAGCTTAATCTCCTGCCTGTCTCTGCAGCAGAAAGTTCACCTTCACAAGAACGGCATATCCTCAGCCGAAAGAAAAGAAGAAAATAGCCTATACCCAGATGTCTGAAAAAAATATTTGTATCTTTTCCACAAATTACAGTACAGTGGTAAGGTAAGACATTCTTGCAGGTAACTGGGTATCTCTGAAAGCTGCTGTATGTGTGTTATCCACCAAATGCATATAACCTATTAAAATATGCTATCTTCTCCATCTGCACAGATAATCATCCAGTTTTAAGTTTGTAGTTCCAGAGGTAAGTTCCCCCTAGTTTATAATATAAAATGTTTTTTTTTACTGGGGATGCTTTCACTGTTTTTGTGGTCTGGCGTTTGTTCTCTCCTGTCCTCTCACACAATTCATGCGGGCATATGCCAGAGAGGAGGTCCATTAATCAGGGCTCTTTTTATAAGGTCTGGATACACTACTCACAATTCTCATGCATTAACCTTGTTACTGCCCCTTACCACCCCTGAAATTTGGCACCACTGTGTGTGTGTGTGTGTGTGTGTGTGTGTGTGTGTGTGTGTGTGTGTGTGTGTGTGTGTGTGTGTGTGTGTGTGTGTGTGTGTGTGTGTGTGTGTGTGTGTGTGTGTGTGTGTGTGTGTGTGTGAGTACAAGTGTGTATATTTTGAGCCCTTGTCACTTGTTAGTGTAGAAAATCCTGCCATGCTATAAATAAAACCAGTCGGAGGGAGGGATGGAAGCCAGTAGAGTGCTTTGACAGCAGAGGGCATATCGGCCTTGTCTCCCTAGGATATGAGGATTGAATTCAATCTACAAACTGATAACTTACTCAGTATATCTTACTGCACTGCATATTTGCACATTTTAAATCTGGATGGAATAATTTACAAAGTATATTAATATAAACTGTTATAGAGTTATTGTCAGTAGGGGGAAACGTGAGGAATATTGGAATAGGGATAATACAAGAAATAAAACCAGATAGATGCAGTGATATTCATGTAGAGATATATACTTATAACCAATATGTTTTGGGTACAATAAAAGCATATTTTCTGCTATGAATTCGACCCCACTCCTGATACAAAACGCTTGGTTCAGCTCTCTGACAGCATCTCTCTGACACCTAAAGTAGAAGGTGGGGAGAGATCTGGGAAACACTAACTGTTTGACTTGGTGTCACAAATAAATTATTTGTGCTAAATGGCAGCTGCTTAACATTAGTTTTGTAGTGTTCTGCCTGTGACTTTTGTAGCAGATCAGGTCCACAAATGTTGGAAAATTGTTTGTAGACAAGTGATATGCAGATTTTGCATGAACGGCAGTCAGCTCTTTTCATCAACACATCATGTCTCCCCCTTATGTATCAAGCATCTTTAAAGTTATAGCATGACATGTTACAGTAAAATGATTTGACAGCACACTTTCGATGTTTACTACAAACTGAAAACTTGATGCTGAAACAATATATCTTGCAGCCTTACTTGCCACTTTGTATATTCCATATTATGCACATGCTGTTATTAAACATTAAGGTTCATGTTTTCATAATGTCCATTATGTTGGAGCAACAGAGAACACAGTTGACCATCAAATAAAATGCCAATCTATTGATTATTTTTGAGATTCATTTTAAAATGAATAGCCCATCTGTGAAAGCTCTTTGTTGTATTATTGCATCAAGAAGAAAACGGCATAGAAAAATGTGTATCTTACCTTGACCTTGGACGTCCAGTAAGTGACCAAAGAGAATAAGAAGGAGCTGAAAGGTGGAAGAAGGCCCGCCCACTCTGAGTGCTCTGTATCCCACACTGCTCCAGCTCCTCGCAATCATGGCAGCATCAGATGCTGAGGAAACAGACAAATATAGTGAGACACAACCAATAATTTATTGGTTTTTCTCTGCTATTTCAAGATTTCTTGATAATGTTGGGGAAAAGTCCCATTAGCAATGTGATAATAAAAAAAAAAAAATTGAGACAACTGGGCTCTTGAGGCCCAGCAGGAAAGACAAATCATTTGGCAGATTTAATTAACCAAATGTTCAGCACTTAATATTAACACTGACCTAGGGACTTGGGTTGGGAACCGGAGGGTCACCTGTTCAAGTCCCACACCATAATATGGAAGTTGATCTGGTAGCTGGAGAGGTGCCAGGACACTTCCCAAGCACTGCCGAGGTGCCCTTGAGCAAGGCACCGAACCCCCAACTGCTCTGGTGCATTCTCTGCATGGCAGTGTGTAGCAGCCCCACTCTGACATCTCTCCACCAACGTCCACAGGTCCTGTTTGTGCATGTGTGTGATTCTGACCTGTGTGCAAGAAGCATGTCCCTAAAATAACAGTGTAAACCTGAATTTCCCTTCTGGGATGCTATAACCCTGGGATTAATAAAGTATATCAAAATCAAAAAAATCAAAATCTGATCACTGGGGCCCCTGGACCCCAGATCAGGAACATAAAAGCCCCTAAATAAATATAAATAAATGATGTAAACTGTGTGGACTTTACCACAACAACATTCCAAAGAAACAGTTAAATCAGGCCTAAACTTTTCAAGTACTTTTTTCTGATCATATCTTCCATCATTATGTAAACCGCTTATCCCGCTTAAGGTCGCTGGGGGCTGGAGCCGATCCCAGCTGTCTTTGGGCGAGAGGCAGGGTACAAGCTGGACTGATCGCCAGTCAATCACAGGACTCTATATATATCTTGACAAACAAAATTAATAATTGCCGATAATTGATTATTGTCAATAATCAGTTGACCACCAACCACCACATCTTCTTCTTCTGGACATCTAAATCATTCATCCCCTCTGCAATTAAATTACTTAATAAAGACTCTTTTATCCTCATTTTGACAACTAATTTTATTGTTTTTAATCCGTTGTTTTAAATAACATATCAACAGGACTTTTTTTTTTTTTTTTTATTAAATTTTATTGGTCGTAACTGGTTTCTTAAAAAAGTTTTATAAGAAGCATGGAGAGTGATCATAGATTTAGACCATCATTGTCTTATTTTATGTAAAGATTGCCCTTGATCCCACCAGCAGGTTGCAACTTGTCTTCACATTATACCTTTTAAATCTCTGTCATCTCCTTCACCTGTGTCAGACAGAAAAGAAACACTCCAATTTTTCAGTAAACTTATAAACACTTGTACAACGGGTCCTTGCAGTACACTTTTCTTCATGTTCTCACAATCTATTTTGTATAATCTCAAAAAATGGTCAGGGTTGCTATAGAGACTCATCCTTCTGCGGGCAGTTTGGATTATTTACGAGTTGTACGCTCAGAGCAGAATATTAATTGAAGTTGAACAGCATGCAGCTCTTCAAAAAAACGAAGTGAAGGTTCACTGTGGAAAATACAGGAAAATTTTTAACTTTTAATTTATGTGACATGCAGATCAAACTTGATACAAATACATGAAGTTACAATTAGTTTTAACCAACACTTTGACAACAAGGAATAAAAAATACATTATTAACATACTTTTTTCCAAACACAACAGCCTTAAATATCATGCAAGTCTTTAGTAACGCCCGAATTTTCCCTCTGGAGATCAAAAAAGTACTATCCTATCCTAGTAACGCCCGAATTTTCCCTCTGGAGATCAAAAAAGTACTATCCTATCCTAGGGCTGCATTAAAAGGCTTTCAATTTTCTTATACCAATAAGTCCTTATCTGATGAGACAGAGGACTACTTAACATCTCCATCACTCAAACACTCACAAATTCTCACGTAGTACCTGTACTGTATCTGCACATCCGCGTCTTGTTCCTGCTTTTTATCCTGAGAACAAGTCCTGCTCCCACTGCTGCCTGGGTGACTTTCTTCTCTTTACCTCCGCTGTAAACTCACAACTGGCACAGCTCTCTTCCCGTTCTCCAGCCAAATAGTCCATCTGCACAGACAGAGGGAGGGAAAACCAGGGGGAGAGGAAAAAAGAGAAAATGAGGGGGAAACCAATGGATGGGAATGAGAATAAAAGGAAAAGAGAGACAGATTGCTTGGATAATGCGCATTGTCAGGAGTTGTATTCTTTGTAAGCCAGTGTGCAATGAGTAAAAATCGCAGAGTTAAACTAATTTGATTTCAAATTCCCTCAGTGCAGCAGTTTCCTTTTCTATTCATATGTTGGCATTTCAGCTTTTGAGCTTTGAATCACAAGCATGGCTTCTGTGCACTTAAATCACAAAGTATATAGGCTCTTACTGAAGCACTAGAAAGCATACCCTACCAAATTCATTATAAGATAGAAAGTACAGAGGTGAAACGTCTTCCTTTTATAAGCGGATGAGAGCTGAAGAGATGTTGGAGTTTGCTGCATTAAACAAATTCAACATAAACACAGAAAACTGAAAAATAAGCTAGACACAGATTGACATCTTTCAGAACTGGCTGACAAAATGTACACCAGTATCAGCATACACGTTGACTGACAAGAAACAAGAGACAAGACATGTTTAATTTCATTTAAGAACAATATAAAACAGTATGGAAAATGCATTACAATCATAGTTATTGCTGTACGCCCTAACCCCCGAGTTGGGTTCTCAATTTTCACAATTTTTAAACAAATGCTTTTGCATGGTAAGCACAGGTTTGGCCTATTTAATTGTTTTAAGTAGCCTGCAACTTAAATTAGTTAGCAAAATGCTTACAATTTGCAACTGCAGCATAATTTGACAGACCAATTTAGCAGTGTTTGTAGTGCAGTTCAGTTATTTAGAATGAGAGTACATATCAGCGAGGTGTTAACATAATTGCAGCACTTTCTGTAACGACATCTCCCCCCTTGACAGCAGTATAGGTCACAGCAGCGCAGAGCTCAGCCAGACACCCCTTCGAATTTAGCAACTTCCACACAAAAAATAAGCTGACACAGCAACTTGAACCTGAATCTACAGCTGAAGGACACACCCTGCTGTCCAAAAGGTACATTAGTCACATGCTATTGTCACCTTTGAATGAACTTAACCTTCCCCTAAAATAGAAAATGCCAGCCCAATGTTACGACTCAAGTTCTAATTATAGTTACTGTACCTTCAAGCCAGTGATACACATAATCATCATAATGCAGACACATTTAGTTGCACACAAAATATTGAGCTCATGGATCCCTTAATGCTTTCTTATTGTGACTATATGTTAGGCCTATACAAATTGAATGCAAACACTCAGGCTTTAAGGTTGGTTGAACACTTACAAGGTAACTGAAAGGCCAAGAACAACAGATGTAAAAATGTTCATTCTTTAACAACAATCTAATGCACATCTGGACACTATGCATACTGTAATTTCTGCCTTTTAAACTTTTTTTTTTTTTTTAAAGGCAAAGTCAACTTTATTGTCAATTTCAAAATATGCCAGACATACAGTGGAATCGAAATTGCGTTTGTCTCCGTCCCACGGTGCAATACAACCAAAATAAGGTAAAATAAGATAAAATAAGATAAGGTAAAATAGATTAAATAAAATAAGGTACAAATAAATTAAATAATATTTACAGTAATAAATTCTAAATTGTGCAAAAGGTACAAAATGGTAAATAAAACAAATAAAAGAAAATTTAAAGAAAAAGTAAACTTGTGCAATATGTGCAATGTGCAGTAAACTGAGTGTACTTTTGAATGCTGGTAAAGAGAAGGGAGAAATAAATAAAGCCAATGACTGGTGTATAGGCTATATCGCATGTCCAATTGAATATATTAGGCTAGATATGATATGGACAGACCAGACATCCGGCACACCTGTTAAACCTTGTAATCAGTGTCATTAACAACACCTGGGCTTTTACTGTGTCTGAATTATCCCACAGGACTATGTCGTTTCGGCATATGCTTGTCCAAAGTAAATCCATAAAGTTGACATGTCTTCATTACTTCTAGCTTCTCGGTTTGAGGTAGTTTCCACACAATGAATGAGAGTGAATCTTAAAACAGTTTCGGGGACTCTTCAGGTTTGGGAAAAGTTATGCTGGCCTTATTACCGCTGCTTCACTGACGGCCATAATAATAATAAATTAGCCATTTGTTACTTTAACAAGACTTCCATTCGCTTAATTTGCTGTACATGCGAACTTTTAAGTAAGTTTACCTACTTTAAAATGTGTTCTTCTTGCTGGCAGACGCCTCATCCGACCACGACATCACAGCGACGCTCGAGGAATGTTTTTCTTCAATGACGTCATTGGTCACTTTCCTTTTCTTGAAAATCCACATAACCTCCCTCTGCTATTTGCACCAAACACCAAAAATAATTAAGGCTATCGTTTCTTTGTATTTTCTTATTTGTAAGCTGTGAAATGATGTTCAGTAGGCTATATTTGTTCACTGACATAATTTGTGAAGCCCTTTAGCTACACGACAAATGCAATGGGGAAATAAGTGAGAATTTAACAGAATGCACACATTAAACTTAATTTTCCTTTTACATCCTTGCATATTTAGCTACTGTTTTTATGTAGTGATAAGTTACTATACCAGTTGTTTAGTAATTATGGTTCATCTCACAGGTAGTAATTGTTTTCTTTCATATTGCTATTTACAAAAACACCATGTATTTATTAGAATTTTACTTCTTTTTTTCCAGGTTGCTTTAAACTCTGAAAGGAAGACATTTGAGGACAAACGCTCAATAACTTCAATTTTGGAAAGAACAACATGATGCCAAGTGGAGAAAATGTATATTACCAGTCAGGGACAGGAACAGGGCCAGGACTGATCCAAGCTGGAAATATTGAGCAACATTTCCTATGTAAAGATAATTATCAAAAGGTCAATTTTTCTATCATGGCCTTGATAGTGTTGGATGAGATAGCATGTCAACAACGTGTCTCAGTCTTCTGCATGGATTTTCTTTTTTAAATAAAGAGCATTTGAACTTCTAGGACTGCATGAGTTTAAATCTGCAGGATGCTTTAGTTCAACAGAAGATATCTTACATTTTCTTTCTTTCCTTTTTTTCCCCATCTTTACCATGAAAATCCTGCACTAATTCTCCATCTCTCATACAAACAGAAGCAATTAAACATGTCTGCTAATGCTAATGAGATGTTGAGAGTTGAATAGATTTGGTCCCATGAGATGTGTTGATAATTGCTTCCTTGATTTTGAAAGTCGAATACGGATTGTTAGAACTTCTCTGGCACACTTGCTTTCCATGCTTGATGTGGAGCAGTATGTCAAGCAGTATTATAATCTATCGTACAACACTGATTTTGTTTTTATTTCATTATGAACATTTTCACTAATTCAAACGCAGAAGGAAATCTCCCAAGTAAATTAACATATTTCTATGCTTCCACTACTGTAAGAATCTGAAGTCTTATATATTCTACAGTCATGTTAATTTCAAAGTTGGGCCAGCTGGACCAAAATAAACAATGATTTAACTTTTTTAAAGCCTTAGGGGCTGCAGAGTTTTTCTGATTACCATGTTGATATCAATAAAATAAATCAGAGATATGCTTTTGATCTCTGTGTAGGATTCAACTTAGAAAACATGTATGAGATCTGTCATAGAAATATGATCGCAAATTATATCAATGATTGTAAAGGATGAAGGTTGTTGTACAGTTTGTTTGAAAAACCTTCAGTCAGATTGTATAATCAAATTATTCAACGAGTAATAGCTGCACCTGGATATTTATTACCTGAATCTAGATAAGGCATGCACTCATGTATAGCCACAGGCTGAAGGAATCATTGCACTCAGAGACAAAAGAAAATCAAAGAGCAACATCTTTAATCTACAACAGTTTCCTTTAACCAACCACATTTTTGTGGCACTCTTTAAACAGATTATTGCTCAATCGAGTCCTTTTTATCCAAGATTTATTTGTGGGCATGTTATGCCTTTATTAAAGAGATAGGACAGTGGATAGAGTCGTAAATCAGGGAGAGAGAGAGAGTAGGGAATGACATGCGGGAAAGGAGCCTCAGGTCAGACTTGAACCTGGGCCGCCCGCTTGGAGGATTACAGCCTCCATACATGGGGCGCGCGCACTAACCACTGTGCCACCAGCGCCCAAAACCAAACACATATTTAAACATTTGTTCTTTACAATGATCCCATACTTAAAACATAAGTAAATTCACACCAAATATTTGTCTGTTGTTATTGTGCAAGTTATTGTTGCACTGAGGATCATGATGTGGGTCTTGGCTCTAGTCAAGGGACGGCATGGCTCTCCTGAGCACAATGGGAACAATTAGGAATATTGTTGAAGCTGTTAGAACGGCAACTGCAGTGGAAACCTGTGGGAAATAACAAAAACAGAAACATCAGCCAGATTTCAGACATGCCTGATGCAGTAAGCTAGCGCGTTGATAGAAAGTAAATACGCACATTGACTCAGGTCCTGTGGCATTTTGAGATACTTGAAAGTCACTTGAATATTTCCTTTTTATACTAGTTTCAAAGAAATTGTGGTACTTAATTACTTGTATCTGCATCGTTGAGAAATGTCTTGACTATAAAATGTAGCATATATCATGTATTTCAACTAAACATTGTGTACCGTGGTTCATTTTAGAATAATGATTGAAATAAAACATTTTCAATATTTTACACATTAGAAGCTTGCTGATAATTACAAGATATAACAAGAAACTAACATGATGTTAACAGTTAATTATAAAAATATATGAATTAAATTATAAAATGTAAAGGCATGTTTTATCAGAATGAATTATTTTGCTTCTGCTCACATTCTGTAGTGCACAAACCTTAATAGCAGTGTTATAGTCCTTTTGAAACGACTGAATATACACACTGTAGAGGGCAAGGCTGCAAGGCAAGTATCCATCCTTACCCTCCAATTCTCTGCATCTATTGGAAGAAAATATACAATTATCTTACCGGAATAACAGATTCACATAGCAGTGTCTCATTTAATGAACTGTTTGATACACACATTCAGTTCTAACCCACCTTTCGTACAAAGAACTTTGAAGTGAAATGTTGTCTTCCAGGTAGAGCTCTGAAAGGCCGAGTTTGATCAATACTGACAACGACAGCCTGTAACCCTCAGCAACAAGGAGGCCAAGGTTGTACCATCCCTGTGGAGGAAGAGTATGGCTTACAACCAAATTGATGCATTAGAAAAATTCAAAGGAACAAAAACCTAAAAAAATATCAAAACAAACAGTACGAAACATCAATTTAAAAAAAAGTCTGACCAGTGGCTCCTGCCTTAAAGCTGCCAGTGTGTACACCTCTGCTGCAGAAAACAAGTCTTTGTGCACGTCAGCTCCCCCCTCATACAACAGGTCACCCATCTTAATCAAGGCTGGATGAATAACAGAGATAGAGGTCTGTGAGATTAAACTGTTTGCTCAAGAGTTTCCACATATCAAAGTCTCAAAGGATGGCTTTTCACCATATGGGTCAGGATTTAGACTTTGGGTTGTGAGGTTGTAATATCTCCACATGCAGCCTGAAGCAAAACCAGGATCCAGAATATCTACCTAAGGACATGCAGAGTAAAGAGATACATTTGAAAAATGACAAGAATGAGTACAACAGTCACAATATCCTGACAATACAGATAATGAAGAGATAACTCACTGTATTTTGTTCACAAAGATATGCCACATTGAATTGGGCAGGTGCATACCCGCACTCAGCAGCCATCATGTAATATAACAGCGAGTTGAACCTGTTGGCAAGACAAAAATGTAATTTGTTGCAACTGCAATCAAGTGGCCTGATAGGGATCATGGAGACTGTGACTAGAGGAAAGATTACATGTCACTCTTGAGATATGAATCCAAGGCTTTCCGCAAGATAGTTCCTAGGTATCCGTTGTGCTCAGCTGCCCACTTTACCCACCTGCAGGCAGTTAAAAAGACATTTCAGCCAAGGCAAACGAGAAAACTGCAAGAGTAAAGTGAGGTTTATAAAAGGGAACAGTGCTAACAAAACTGCATCCGCTTGACGTCTTTTGACACGGCCGGGTATCCCCGTTGTCCAGATCTCAGCCAGGAGAATCCCACCTCTGATGTGCCCTCTTTCTGCAGACTTCAGGTAATACTTATAGGCCATAAACTGTCAGAAAGACAAATTATTTACCTCTCTGTAAGTGCCAAATGTTACTATGTACCCATGTATTGTCAGGAAGCACTAACACTTGAGCTAACCTTGTCTACAGCTTTTCCAGGATACAGTCCCTGTGAGTACAGGACTCCAAGGTTCAAAGCAGCATCTGGAGAATTAAGGCGATCAGCCTGCTCCCATAGTTTCACTGCCTGCTCGTAGTTCTGCTCATGCTGCTCGTAGTACCAGGCCAGGGCATTCATTGCAGGAACAAAACCCTATGGGACACACAATTGTAGGATGCAAGGTAGATGGTGCAAACTTTAAATCAGTCTTTGCAACTGAAAAGCCCTCTCCAAATGTAACAGTGATGATATAAAGTGAGTAATAACGGGATCATTTTACGATACAAAACCTTGTCCATTGCTTTCTTGAGGAAAGTGAGAGCTTTTGGAATATTCTTTTTGACCCCTTGTCCCTACAACGAAACATACAAGCATTTCATTAAATTCTTTATACTAATCCTTGATACAATATAAATTATTTGTCAGTAATATATAAATATATAAATATTTACGGTACATCATATGTGATTCTGACCTGCAGCAGGACTATGCCATAATCATACATTGACACAGAATCCTCCAACTGGACAGCTCCTCTTTCATAATGTCTCACAGCCTCCTGCATGTTTGGAGATACTCCCTGCTGACCCCAGAACAGCATACGACCAATCGCTTGCTGTAAGACAGTAATTTAAAAAAAATAGTTACTTAATTACATATTTTGACTGGAACTTAAATGATAAAACTGTTTTTGAGTATCTGAGGCTATTTTCTTTTACCCTAAAAGATGTGACATAAGATTCAAACCTAAAACAAAAGTCCTAAAATCAGAGACATTCTGTTTTTTCTGACTGACTTTCTAAGTTTGTGTATGTGCTTGCAGTTTAAAATGCAGAGATGTCAGTTCAGTGTACCTCTGCTTCAGCTGCTCCCCTGTGGGCCTGTAGTTTCAGCCATTGAAAGATGTGATGATCCTTATCTGTCTGGAGATTCAACTCCTCCTCATTGTTGAGATGAACCGCCTCTACATAAGTCTGGAAAAAAACAGGAATTCAAATGAGAGAACAAACATGT